GTTTCAAGTGCTTATTTACCTGATATGCTTGAGCTCCTTGCCTGGTCTTGTGACGTCACATCTTGCACTACAGGATGGGCTGAGCATAATTCTAAAATACAAATCCAAAATTGAAATATTCCAATTTTCATTCTTTTTAAATGGAATAAACATTGACAGACAAATGATAGGCGCAACATGCGTCTCGTGATTTCAGGCAACGGTTTGGGCATTCTGATAGCGCTGAATCCAGTAGATTCGTTTATGATGTACGAAAACTATACGGATACAGTAGTAAAAATGATGAGGCATCAACTGACAAAACTATATTCAATACAAATAAACTATGAAATGAAAACTAACATGACGACAATGTTTTTAAAATGTACCGTCCCAGTTATTTTCAATGTTCAACTCAAAAAATAGATGTATTGTTACGTGTGCACACGTTTTGTGCTTGGATGGTGACGCTTGTAACTGTAAACCACAGAAATACAAAGTTTCAGCTATGGAAATCAGTTGCCTGCTTACAGGTTTCCATGTGCTGTGTTTTATTTTTGGTCTACAATAGAAAATAATCTGTAAAATTACAGTTGACAACGAAACATTCAATTCAGTTTCAAACTTACGTGAGGGCGCAGTGATGGTGATTAGCGTGGCCGCCAACACCAGCAGATTTGATGCAGAGTAAGACATTGTTTTCGAATACGGTGAAAGAAAGTTATACAAACGTCTTATTGGGAGAGATCAGCTGGAGCCGAGTATGAACCGACGGAGGTTGGTAATCGGTTTATATATCATGGTGCTGGGCATGATGTGTCGGGGTTAACAGGTGCCGCTAGCTGAGCAGATATATAATCCGTCTGGCTTTCATGGAACAAATCCCCCGAGACGTTGTCTACGTGGGTCTATTTGTGTTGCTGAGAAGCTATATCGGGGACTTCCGACTTGGGTTAAGCGAGGGCGTAGAATCCTGCGGGGGGGGGGGGGGTTACGGTGGCACTTACCATCCCCTTCCCCGATATTTCGCAACAAGTACCTTTTTTTAACATTCTACGAACGTCGAACGATTTCTCAATATTAAAATCTACGATCCTGCATTCTAAGGCTGTTCAGTAACTTTAGCATTCCATTCATTATTTTGACTCCATTTTACTAGTATCAACATTAGTCAGCGGCTAGCGGTTGGGGTGGGGTGGAGGGTGGGGTATTGCAAGCCCCAACCCCCTCTAGATCCGCTAATGGATTACGAATCCAAATGTTTCATCAATTATCACTCAGTTGCACAGAATCGCCATGACAAGTATAAGTCAGTCCTATAGAAACCTGACTATAGGGACGATTTAACTTTAAAAAAAATCTGGTCACACAGTGAAATCTATTCGTTTTGTTATAATCATAATGGTTTTTCAAAGTTGGACACAGAAACTAACTTGAGCAGGGTTGAACCTGCGACCTAATTTCATTAAAACTGAATAAATATACTACAGAACAACCTGATAAGGAAAGTTATCAATGTGTTATACAACATTATGATCCATTGATGTGCGGCAGGACTGGGCGGGACCAATATGGCATGGTCAAATGGGTGAACATTGGAAGTCATTTCTTCATTTTCTTGTGTTCTGGCACTAGATCAAACGCGCACATTAAGACGAGCCAGCAACTAAAAAGTTCAAGGATCTTACGCAAAAGGTACATTCATTTCCTTGTGACGCATGTGTTTTGACACTGGCTCACAGTTACCCTATGTATGACGATCCTGTAACGAACATGCATGTTCAAGACGTTCATCCAAAATAGACTTAACCTCTGACATTGTCTGGGCAATATATCAAACATCTGGTAGTGACATTGCCGTGTAGAGTACCAATGCACCAAATTGCTCACGTAGGGAGCTAGGGCAAAAATCAAATCCCGGCTTCAAACATTCATTTCCTTGTGACGGATATGTTTTGACACTGGCTTTCTGGTTCATAGTTACCCTCATGTATGACGAGCCTGTAACTAACATGCATGTTCAAGACGTTCGATCATCCAAAACAAACTTAACCTCTGACATTGTCTGGGCAATATATCAAACATCGGGTAGTGACATTGCTGCGTAGAGTACCAATGCACCAAATTGCTCACGTAGGGAGCTAGGGCGGAGCCGAAAACAAGTCCCGGCCTTGACATTCATTTCCTTATGACGGATATGTTTTGACACTGGCTTTCAGGTTCATAGTTTCCCTCATTTATGACGAGCCTGTAACTAACATCCATGTTCAAGACGTTCATCCAAAACAGACTTAACCTTGAAATGTTCTGGGCAATATATCAAACATATCTGGCAGTGAATGCAGCAACATGTGGTTGAGTAAGATTTGAGGCTTTGCATGGTGAAGATACTAAATAATGAAAGGTTTGCGGAAACACCATGTGCGAATAATTTCTCAACTAAGAGAATGGTTCTGAAAAGAACCAGAGGTATAAACTCCATGTGGTTGCAGAGCAGTAAGTAGGCCCCAGATCAGTTGCCCCCTTTATTCAATTCAATTCAAACACATTTATGTTCTGTTCATGACAGAAATGGAAAATAATATAAGTATTGAACAGGATATAAAGGCCACTAGAGGTGGCAAAACATTGAAAGCATAGCTTGTATCAGGCACATACGAAAGCCCTGTAGTGCCATCAAGTATATATTTTGTCCAAGTTCGTTTTTACGAGATATATTTTTCCCAAAGTTCGTTTTTACGAGATACATTTTGTCGAAATTCGTTTTTATGAGATACATTTTTCCCAAAGTTCGTTTTTACGAGATACATTTTGTCGAAGTTCGTTTTTATGAGATACATTTTGTCGAAGTTCGTTTTTATGAGATACATTTTTCCCAAAGTTCGTTTTTACGAGATACATTTTGTCGAAGTTCGTTTTTATGAGATACATTTTTCCCAAAGTTCGTTTTTACGAGATACATTTTGTCGAAGTTCGTTTTTATGAGATATATTTTTTCGAAGTTCGTTTTTACGAGATACATTTTGTCGAAGTTCGTTTTTATGAGATTCATTTTTCCCAAAGTTCGTTTTTACGAGATACATTTTGTCGGACATGAAATTGGGTGACTTTTCATGTAACGTTTATCTGGGGTCAATGAATATGGTATCAAAAGCAATTCTGTGCGATGGTCATGGTTGGGATGGCAACCGATTTAAAAACATTGGTAATCAATGAATTTTGGTCCTTTTTGTAGTCCCCGAGGGGCCAACCTACAATCTTCTGTGTGCTTGACTCACTGTCTCTCACATGTGAAAAAGACTTGCATAAGTCTCACCTTGGTCCCACAACTTACTCTGCTGGTCCCAGAGGGCCTGACTACGGTCTTCTTTGTACCTAACCCACTGACTGACCCACTGACTGACCCAAATAGTTCAATAGTTCATAGAGACCCCAAAGTCAAAATTTGTATACTGTATTCACGTACGTTTATTGCATTAAAAGGAAGTAAATAATCAATATTATAAAACAAGACAAGCATTTCAACTAATGAATCGTAAAAAAAAACATTATAAGAATCCACCTGGGGGCCCGACTATGACAAGGCAAGGAGGCCTCTTAATTGTGTCCAGTTAATTATTTTTCTTTTTATTTTTGGTAATATGATAATCAAGTACTAGGTCTATAACAAGTGCAGTTATAAAGTAAATGAAAATCTAATAAATATTACTTCTAGATAAAAAGACAGGTTTATTCTAATATAAGATTATGGCAAATATTATACATGGCACAATAACACAACAATTATTAAGTTTATCAACCATAGTATTTGACAAAGTTTCTTCACCATCACGTATTCTACCTCGTACGCAACATCGTAGCTTTTTCCTGAAATAACACTTAAAGTTTATCGGTGTATCAGAGTATAAGAAAGTCCACAATTTTCACCCTCACTGCTTATCCTCTGTGCTTTAACTTTTCGTTCCCCAATTTCATTTGAACGTATTTATATCAATGGACTCATTCTTCTATGAGTAGCTGACTTTGAAATTGTCCAAAATGGATGCAATATAATTGATTATCGATTCCACTCCTGTTCCGTTTTTGGGGTGGTCTTTTGTGTAGTCTTTTGGTGTTTTCTTATGATCATTTTGTATATATATATATATATTTAAAACAAACAAAGCCACTATGATTGTTGCATGCTTTTTATGCGCATTGTATATGCTGCACACAAACATACATTGACAACAAGAAAGCTTCTGCCTCTGACTCAAAACATCTAGCCAGTATGCACTGTTAACAAAGACTGGTGTCATAGATTGCGCAGTCGCTAATATACTGTACAATGCCAAGAGAAGCGAGTTACCACTCTCCATATATTTTTTTTTACAGCATGCACGGGTTATAGGCCCAGGCCAGTCACGTGACTATAGAAGAAGTCGACCAGCAGTTCACGAGGGGCGCTTTGATGGTCCGAAATACCATGAAACAAATATTATTCCTTTAAAAAAAGGAGATAAGTGTGTATGAGAATATGGTTGGTCTCCTATCCTTCTTGGTTGCCTGAAGGGTTTAGCTTTCGTCACTTGTTGGTTGCTACGGTGTTTCCTGCAGTAATACAAAAGCGAAGAACAACAAGTTTGCATCTTAGGTTGTTGAAGAAAACTGAAAACAAAACAGCTTTCATTTAAAAAAAATGTGTTCTAGATAAAATCTAATCAGGAATATACGAAATTAAGAATCGTGAGATATTTTCAAGAAACCCTTGCAAATATTGATTAAGGTATCAACCGATTATTGCTAGGCAACTAATAGTTTCAACACATTGTACTATTTCAGCTTTTTATCATTTGAGTCAAGGTATACGGTTGCACAATACAAATCGTTACTATCAAATTGAATGGAGCACTCGTTCTTGCATGACGCTAAAACAATTCCATCTTTCTAATAATAGGAATACGCGGAGTATTTTCTATGATGATTTGAATCCTTGACAAGGTGGTGTAGATTTCGTTACACTGCCCTCATTGCTCGCTTACCATCACTACAGATCACTCCAGCATCGTGAGAGTGGCTACAACTTGTCTCCTCCCAGCAGTAGGAAGGGCAGTCGGTAATTTTCTCTTCGGATCCTTCGCACGCCACGCCGTCCATATGGACGGGTCCGCTACCCTGCCCGAAGTGAGCAGCGGACTTGGCCTCCAGTGCGCCTGAAAAACCGAGCTGTCGGCAGACGATCCCCGCATCGGTGACGTTCCAATTGCTATCGCAGATGGTTCCCCAGCTGCCGCCACGGTATATCTCCACTCGGCCGCTGGTGCGAGATCCGCCGACCAACCGAACCACATCTGATCATAATAAGACGGTTGTCTTAATTCAAGAGAAAAATATTCGAATAAACAACGAAGGCCGAAGCTGACTAGGTTTGCAGAATTGCTAATGTTGTTAGTATCGTGACATTGGGCGATGGCTTCTGACTATAGCGCCCCTGAACAAAATAAATGACAAAATGGAGAGCTGCCAACACAGGGCTGGAAAGCTCAGTCGGTAGAGCACAGGAACGGCAACCCGGAGGTCGCATGTTCAAACTCCGTTCCAGTCAATTTCATTGTTCAATTAAATAAATTAAAAAAAAAAAAAAAAAAAAAAAACACGACGAGTCACAGTCTGCCACCTTCACTTTGGAGTGGTGTAATGAAGAAGGGACGGATAGGTAACCCAACCTCACAACTCTATTTGTGAAAAGAATTAGTCGTATGCTATACTGAGCAACTCAAGTTGGCCATTCATTTAAAGAATCTATGGTCCAAATAATCAGCATTGGGAGGCGATTCCTATGCTTTGTCGGGAAAAGCTATATTGTGGGGGTGTAAATGATAACAATTCTCTCAGATGTTTCATTGGAGTTCAGAGATTTCTTTGCTCAGTTAATGTCTTCACTTTTTGGGAAGGACCTTTGTTTGAAGTATGTATTTTGGGGATGAGTACCGGTATTTAATTGACTTTAATTGTATATCGGCGAACGGCGCCATATTACAAATACGCTGGAGATAGATGATAATGATACGGGAGTTACTTAGTGTGCAATAAGTCGGATGTGAATGACATGGAAACTAAAGAGGGCGGAGTATTTCTTACCAGGTCTTGGTTTACAAACGACTCCTGCTACAGTTGAGCTGTTGCATTGCTGAGAGCCGGTACAGACAAACGGACAGTCAGCCAGCCGTCGTTCAGTTCCAGTACAGGCGACTCGATTCATCACGATCGGCCGGTCACTCTCTCGGCTGGACAACCCCGTTTTAGCCTCCAGAGCCTCGATGAAGCCGAGCTGATGACAAACGGTGGTGGCGTCCTTCATATCCCAACTGCTATCGCAGACTGCACCCCAAGCATCATGGCGGTAGATTTCCACCTGGCCGCTCCATTTGTCATCACCGCCCACCAATCGAATGGCGCCGCTGCTGGGAACTGTTGAGATTGGGAATTAGTTTCTATCAGACTTAGTACTGGAATCACAAGTGTTTGCTGATTTTGAACATCAATCAGACGTAGGCATAATCTCTCGATAATAATGATTGTCTTGTAAGTTTCAATTTCTTTTTGAGGTTAATAACCAAATCTTTGTGAGTGATACGACCAACTTCTATATAATGTTATCTTATAATGTAATCTATAATTGGAACGCTAAAACAGGCACAAGATGCTTGTGTAAATACATATCATTCCTTTTAACTTCTTTCCCTATCTGAGGTGCCGTTTCATGGCTCAAATCGCCTGGCAAGACGTATTCCCCGTTCCATTGATGACTGTTGTCTGACAAAAATGATAATTCCTTTGTCTTTGTTTATTAAAGGCAACTCAACTCAGATCCCCCACTCAATTTGCAATATGAAGGATATCCAATTTGTGATCCAAACCCATCGTTTCATATATGATTTGTACTGGGCATTGTCAGAATGCAACAGAGCTCGACCAACACGTGTCATCAATCGAAAAAAAACCGAACAAACACACCCATCAAGTGATATCAGCCGACAATACCATCATCCCAACTCCCAACCCTCCAACTTCCATAACCTTGATACTGACACAGTTTTTATGAGGGTCAAAGCAACCCACATTGCAAAAACAGCGGTGTTAGATTACTATCACCATGATAAAATATCATGTTTTATATTTACTGTTTAAGTTGTATACGTTGACCTTCAAGGAACAGGACCACTTTCCTGGTAATGAGACACATCTAAGGAATGGCCAGTTTAGCCACAAGGTCCGCGTGGGTGGATGCTGGGCTGCACCGGAAGGCCACAGTGATTCAGCCCACAGACTTATAAGGAAATCCGATTGTTCTATTAATTTGCCTAGCCCTGCCCCCAGATACAAGTTGACCAAACACCTTCAATTCTGTATTATTAATATTCAATAGTTACTGAACGACTCCTAATAAGGCAAGAAACCTGTAAGATAGCTGTAAGATTGGAATGTTCATTTACTGAATAAAAACCCAGTAGAATCTAGGAATCAGACAGAGAGCGTCACAGCCAACCGAATAAACCACATCATCCCAAGTACCACTTCGTCTCTTACTGTCTTACTTTGTCTATATAACCTCACGGGTTATATTTGGTGGAGAATCCGGGTACCTCTCTCAACATCGAGTTTTTCATGCTCACGCGATCGAAGTCAAAACAACAATCTGCATCAGCCATGGCCTGTACAGCGCACATCGAGTCTATCCTACCAAAGTTCACCGGGTACGACTCGGAGGACCCCGAGTTATGGATCGACCGGTACGAGAGGTATGCTCTCCAAAAAGCATGGACGGCTGTGCAACAAGCCAGCAATTTCCCCCTCTACCTTGCCAGTTCTGCCAGTTACTGGTACAGGGACTTGCCGAATGCAACAACGGGCACCTTTGCGGCACTAAAACAGGCTTTCCTCAAGAAATACGAGCCTCACGAAGGCATGCGATGGGTTCGTTTGTCGGAGCTGGCCGACAGGAAGCAACAGCCCAACGAAGCGGTCGAAAAATACCTGAGCGACATTGAGAAACTGTGCTGTCAGCTGAAGCGCTCCCAAGAAGAGAGAATGGAGGCATTCATAAGAGGACTGCTGCCCAACCTCAGAGCCCATGTCATCAAATCTCACCCAAAAACCATGGATGAGGCGGTAACGCAAGCAAGAATCGCTCAGTCCACAGCTGCAGCGCAAGAACCAACCTCATCCACTGACGTGAACGTGAACTCAGCAATCAAGCAGCTGTCTGAACAGATCGCTTCCCTCAAAGACCAGATGACGACAGTTTCGGCGGCCACACAGCCATCTCCTCGACAGCCACCAAGCAGGGGATACGAGTTAGGACAGCGTCACTTCCGCCCCCAGCAAACCCAAGTTTTCCGACAGCAGCAAGGCCCAGGACAGCAGCGAGCCCAAGCAGCGGTGCCGCCCATGATGTACCCATGCCGTGGATGTGGAGGTGAGTGTATAAGTAGGCAAACATGTCCGGCCTGGGGTATTGAATGTAACTTTTGTCATAAGATAGGTCATTTTGCTAGGGTGTGCTTCCAACGTAACCGACCAAACAATATCAATGATATTCATCCTTCTAATCAATGACTAGAGACGAGACCCAAAGTTCCACACCTGAGTAATGTTTCTGCCATGTCAGGCGGGAGCAATCTAGTTCAAGTCAGAATTGGCTCAGACTCCCGATTTGCGTTAGTTGACACTGGGGCATTGATTTCGTGCATGACAAGAAAAACATACACGCAGTGTTTCCCCCAAGATCAGTTCCCATTGGGTCAGTCAGATGTTCCCCTAATTTCCGGTGTCGCTGGCCACATAACAAAAGTTGTGGGCAAAGTTGCCCTGCCGATTTTTATCGGGGAGCAAAGTTTGGAACACCCTTTCTACATCCTCGAAACCATGAACCATGAAATTATTCTTGGAGTAGACTTCTTGAAAGAGCAAAAGGCCAAGATATCTTTTGAGGAAAATCACGTAGTGTTCCCCAATGCACCTTCGATTCCTTTAGTAGGTAAAGAGGCAAAGAAAGTGACTGTCAGAGCAGTGTGTAATGTATCGTTGCCAGCTAGAACGCAGACTGTTCTTCCTGTTCAGTGTAATAACATTAAAGCCCAGTACGGTATCATTGAGCCAGTTCCATCTCTGTATGATGATGAGCAATTAGTAGGAGCAAAGTGTGTTGTTAAATCTGTTCAGGGTAAATCAGTATACCAGCTTATGAATCCCACTGACAGTGATGTAGAGATTAAGCGTAACCAAGTAGTTGGCTTTTGGGAACCGTTGTCCACGGACATGTGTATTGAAAGTTTTGAGGTAGACGGAAATGAGACATCTAGGCCTACACAGACAGGCAATGTGTTGCACAAAAATACCGTACCTGTAACTGAAGGTGTTGACCCCCCTGATATCCTTAGTGAGCTTGGTATCACTATGACAGATTCAGATATAACAGCAGATCAAAAGCAAAAACTTGTCACATTTTTGGCTCAGCACAAAGAAGTATTCGCGAAAGACTCAACTGATTTGGGTACAACTGATGCACACTTTCACCGAATAGACACTGGTGATGCAAAACCTGTCCACCAGCGTTTCTATCGCACTTCACCTGTTCATAAGGCAGAAATCGACAAACAAATCCAAGACATGCTAAAAGCTGACATAATCGAACCATCTACGTCGCCCTGGGCTAGCCCAGTAGTGCTTGTGAAAAAGAAGAATGGTGATTTTCGCTTTGCAGTAGATTATCGTCGTCTTAACCAAGTCACAAAACCCATGTCCTTCCCTCTACCTCGACCTGATGATGTATATGATACCATAGGTGAATCCCATGCTACGATATTCACAGTACTTGATCTTGCGTCAGGATTTTGGCAAATACCTCTAGATCAGGGGAGCCGCGCGAAAACTGCGTTCGCATCACATAGTGGCAATTACCAGTTCAAGAAACTTCCGTTTGGTCTCATGAATGCGCCAGTTTCATTTCAAATGGTCATGACTCAGGTGCTGCGGGGTCTAACTTGGAAATTTGCACTTGTATATGTGGATGACATCATCATTTTCTCTCCTGATTTTGACACGCATTTGACGCACCTGCATGCCGTCTTTGACCGCCTTCGTCGTGCGAATCTCAAGTTGAAACCACAGAAGTGTCACTTTGCTGCGAAAGAAGTAACCTATCTGGGGCATGTCATATCGAAGCAAGGGATCAAGGCTGATCCAGCCAAAACGTCAGTAATGACCTCCTTCCCCGTTCCTAAGGACCCGTCTGAAGTTCGAGCATTTCTAGGGATATGTAACTATTACCGTAGATTTGTGAAAGGTTATGCCACCATAGCAGCCCCCCTAAACAAACTCCTGCAGAAAGACGTGCCATTTGTGTGGACAGAAGATTGCAACAATGCTTTCCTCCAGTTAAAGCAAGCGCTCGTCTCTCCACCGATCTTAGGCTATCCTAATTTTGATCGCGAGTTTATTCTGGCTACAGATGCTAGTGGGTTTGCCATCAGTTACATCCTCTCACAAACCGACGAAAACGGTAAAGAGGTTGTCATTCAATACGGTGGGAGAGCGCTCACAAAGGCCGAGCAAAAATGGTCCATAACCGAAAGAGAAGGTCTAGCTGTTGTACAAGGAATTCAGTTTTACCGGGTGTATCTTGCTAACAGAAAGTTTCGCGTCCACACAGATCACGTTTCTTTGCAATGGCTCAGATCTATACGCAATGCTGTAGGTCGATTGGGACGATGGTCTATCTTACTTCAGGGGTATGATTTTGATATTGTTCATAAGTCTGGCACGTCCCATGGTAATGCTGATGCCCTTTCACGTCGACAATATGACGACATTGCCTCTCAAGTTCAAGCCGCGAATAAGGACCCAATTCCAGTTGAGACTGTGCACCAGCCTCAGGAAAACAGTCACTCCGTAACGCTGGGTGAAACGTACGAGTACAAATTGACTTATGCCACGGATAAAGAAACAGTCTGTTCTATCGATAACCCTGACAGTTTGACAGATCAATCCGTTGATATCCAAGCTCGCCAGCGACGCGATAGTTCCCTGAATCAGTACATTCAGTACTTAGAAAATGGTAGTTTGCCATCCGATGGGAACGCTGCTAGACGCATAGTCGCCCAAATTCAAGATTATGTCATACAGGACGGTATATTGTACCATTACTATTATCCACGCGGCAAAGGCCACCAAGTTGATCGACAAATCAAACAGTTGGTTGTTCCTACTTGCTCACACAATGATATTCTCCTTGCATATCATGACTCTGTCCTGGGTGGACACCAGGGTATTGATCGTACATACAACAGTATTCGCCAGAAGTATTTTTGGCCCCGAATGTTTTCACACATTGAAGCCTATGTTAAGTCATGTACAACCTGTCAACGCGTTAAGGTTAACCGCCATGCTCAGCGAGCACCCCGTGCAAAGACTAATCGAACGCTTGAGCGTATCATGCAGAACTTTGACACCACGCGCAAAATTGCAGCAGACAACATCAAGGCGGCCCAAGTCAAATACAAAGAACAGTTTGATAAGAAATCCAAAACCCCAAGTTATCAAGAAGGACAGAAAGTATGGCTTTACTGTGCCAAACGTCAAGTTGGCTTGTCACCCAAAATGTGCCACAAATGGCTAGGTCCGTACTATATCTGTGAGGCTCGCGATAACTTCACCTACAAACTTCGGCGATGTAGTGATAACAAACTTATGTTGTCCCCAGTCCACGCGAATCGGCTGAAGCAATACCATGACCCTCAAGACAGACCAGTGCACATTCCTGATAGCTTAGACATCCACACTGAGGCCGGTCCAGACCAATTTGAGGACAGTGACACTATCAGTGACACTGTCGGGGATACACCCCACTCTAAAGATAATCAATCTGCCAACGAACACGTGCCACAACCCCCACCTGTTGTTTTGGGCAGTCCCAAACGTCCCTCTGATACTAAATCACCGGACACTGATGACCAAGGTCGTGGCGATTGGTTTATCGTACACAGTCTCAGACGCTCTGCCATAATAGATGGTAAGCGGCATTATCAAGTCAAGTGGAAAGGATATACCAAAACAACCTGGGAGCCCGAAGACAATATTCCTGATGAGTTAATCCAAGACTTTCACATCCGTAAGACCAAACGGTCCAAAACATATCAGAATAAGCGCAGACGATAGGCATATGTCCGAATTATTTAGCTCTCTCTCAGTGCAAATTGCTATTATCCGCTTTCTGTAGTTAAAGTGTTTTAACTTCTAGTATGTATCATTTAGTGTAAAGTTTTCCTGTACTTACAATTATTCCATTTGTACTCTGTAGTTCGTATTATTTTTATTGTTTGCCTCAATTCCCTTTCTTTGCCTCATGCTTTTAATGCCGGCCATGGACATGATTGCATTACCTGTACACTCATTCTCATTTATTGACTTGTTTGTTATACAATTTTGTTTTCCTGTATTCATTTCGATACATTTCCATTTAATACTTGTCTTTTTCTTTTTCTCATCTTCAGGTCATGTATAAGTGTTATCGTTGATTTCTAATATGCCTTATTTTTAAAGTTCCGAACGTTCCATTTTAAGTCCGGAGACTTAAGCTTCGAGGGGAGGGCACATATCACCATGATAAAATATCATGTTTTATATTTACTGTTTAAGTTGTATACGTTGACCTTCAAGGAACAGGACCACTTTCCTGGTAATGAGACACATCTAAGGAATGGCCAGTTTAGCCACAAGGTCCGCGTGGGTGGATGCTGGGCTGCACCGGAAGGCCACAGTGATTCAGCCCACAGACTTATAAGGAAATCCGATTGTTCTATTAATTTGCCTAGCCCTGCCCCCAGATACAAGTTGACCAAACACCTTCAATTCTGTATTATTAATATTCAATAGTTACTGAACGACTCCTAATAAGGCAAGAAACCTGTAAGATAGCTGTAAGATTGGAATGTTCATTTACTGAATAAAAACCCAGTAGAATCTAGGAATCAGACAGAGAGCGTCACAGCCAACCGAATAAACCACATCATCCCAAGTACCACTTCGTCTCTTACTGTCTTACTTTGTCTATATAACCTCACGGGTTATATTACACACCGGTGGTATCTTTAAAGGTCCACCGGTGTTCAATTTTTGTAGTGCAGACGTAAAATAAAATCAAACCAGTCAAATACTAGCATGATCATTCGGCCTGCATCGGACTCACTGTGACATCAGTATGAGTTCAGCATAATTATAGATATGACTTGTATTAATACAACTTCCTCAGGGTTCTAATAATTTTTCATCACAATATGAAACTCAAGTCAGTGCCCGCATTTGGTTCTTATAGCGTTGGAAGAAGCCTAGACCTCTAAACTGATCTAACCATAAAAAAAAAACATTTACACCAAAATGACTAGCGGAATCATTGCCTTTCTACGGCGATTTAAATTGTTTAGATGGGCACATTTGTATTACCTCGACATCCGAGCACTTCGAACCTTAGCCAATAATAAGAAGAGCTACTCCATGTGAGTGGAAGTATGCGGAGGAATCTTGCCATCAGTACCACGGGGAACGTCACATTCACAGGTTTTCCTCTACCATTGTCCCCATTCAACTGGAAAAAAATATAACGATTTACAATCACCACCAACGCAAAATCAGGTAGCTCATATATTCGTTATACGTACGTCGGGCTTCTTTGCTATCTGACGAGCTGCGCCGATATAAGAAGATGCTAAACGTGTTTTGGCGCTATCTCCTTTTTACATGAAAGTCCAATTGATGTGAATGATGATCTGATTCAGAGTTGCTTGTGACAATTAAAAAATATCACATGATATAAGTTTCACTCTAGAAAGGTTCACTCTTGAAATTATGTTCAAATTTCCATAATTCTTATGTCACTTCCGTTTCTCAGTCTGAGATGTACGCGACGTGAAGAAAACATAATGAACAATGTATTCGCCTTGATACCATTGGCGTCGATCCGGGGGAGGGAGAGGCGCTGGGGGTGGGGTTGATCCAAATAATGTTTGCGCTGCAGGGGAAGACGGTGATGGCGATGCCCCCCATAGTTTATCACAGTGCATATAGATTATTACCAGTTACATATTATATCCTTCCAATATTATTCGGTACGTGTAATAGCGCTAAGATATTGGTCTTCCACACCCATTTCGTGTAAATGAAAACACACTGGCAGAATTTGGTGTAAAACGCGAATACGTGTACCATTAAATACGTGTTTGAAAAGCTCCCCATAGAGTTAGGTGGCGTCGAGCCCCCCCCCCCCCCCCCTCGCTTTACGAATGTGTATGCTACTTGCCCCCTCAATGTTGACAAGAAATCACCGCCGGTGCTTGAGTGTAAACGGATATCGCGACCCGAGCTTAAGTCAAAGGAAGTGCAGATCAAAGGTTTGTTTAAATTTACAACGACACTTAATTTGACATCAAACCAGTACGAGACCCAATCGGTTCAGGTTTAACAGATAAAAATAATGTGTTCTTTTTTAATTGCGATTTAACATAATACTTTATAGGCTTACCTTTGCAAATTAACGCAATTAGGGCCTAAACGTTTGCGAAATGACGCACTAGCATAAACGCGATAGTTTTGCGAATTGACGCAATATTTTGTAACAGTTAACGAAATAGGCGTGATGGAATAGTTTCGCGAAATTTATTAAAAGCAATAAAACTTTTACAGATTAACGCAATAGCTTTGCAAATTAACTCGATAGTTTTTTTTTTCAACGCAAAAATATTGCGTTAAAGCATATAAATACATTGAGTTCTTTCGCAAAACTTTTGCTATGATAATATCACCAAAAAAGCAATACTTCACTTATTTAAACCTGGAGCGATCGAAATTCCGTACGATTAGCCTTGTGTTTTTTCACTGTCCATATGGAATGTGAAAACTAGAGAATCGATCTTGACGGGATCCTAGGCTCACCTGTACGGTCTGTCCTCTGTCAGTTAGTTTCTGCCAATCATCCGACTCGCCCGTATTACTGTAGTTTACAGCAAAGGTTCGGATATGACTCGAACTGTCTCCCTGTACGATGACCCCCGTGATGGCCGTGTACTGACCGAGGTCTACCTGGATCCATTGACCCTCGGGCTTTCCACGCGGGCATATCCACCAACGAGTACCTGTAGGGAATAAAACAAAAGACCATGGCATTCAAAATAATATAGAACCAAACTCTACAGGGTTTCCTTAAGGAAAGTACAACCGTTACGGAGTGATTATGACAATAATACAGTGGCGGTTCTACGGGGGTAATCCCCCCCCCCACTTTTGTCTAGCCCCCCACCCCCCTCCCCCCCCCAAAAAAAAAATCCATTAAAAAAAACCAAATTGCCTCAACAAAATGTAAGAATGTGACGTACATTCGAACGGTCTCCCCCCAAATAAATAGTCGTGTGAAGGGTGCATTTGTACACTAAATTAATATAGTGTGCCTGATTGTAGCATTTTATCAGCGCTCCGCATTGGAAATATGGCACGAGCAGCCCCCCCCTCCCCCCCCCCCCCCCCCCCCCCCCCCCCCCCCCCCCCCCATTTATTGATTTTCGGAGGCCTAAGTGACCGGAGAAAATAACCGGTCTACATTTCAGCACGCCTCCCTGAAAAAAAAAGAAAGAAAAAAAACTCTGGATCCACCCTGCTAGCCCCCCAAAAAATATTGGCTCTAGAACCGCGCCTGCAATAATACATATTTTGTATTGGAATTTGTAAATTGGTTTTTATTTTAAGTCATTCCTGTTCTGGAGGACTGAGTACAACTCTTTGTTTATCCTGAGGGACCCGGACCCCCAGGGTTAGTTGTTAGATGGTTAAATGAGGAAAATGAGGTTTTGCCAGAGGCTGCTCGCAAGGCCAACACGATTCTTGAACGCTTCATAATTAGCAATGAGGCAGGATTTTCCATGAATGACGAGTTTAATACCCAGAACGTAAGACAATATTCTTTACAACCGACGAAATACACAACCATTTAATTTTGAAAGGAACGACAGTCGCACTTAACTCACTGTTTGTTTCGGAATTTGAGGTAATGTTCTCATGATTGGCCCTTTTTTCATTGAGGAAAACATACTAACTAACATTTACTTCGATATGATAAATAATCGGGTCGCACCTGTGCTTGCAGTAAATTTTCATCGCCTGATTGGAGGAACTTGTCAATATCTGTGATGGGCACAATCATAAAGCGTTTCCTGTACAGTCTTCGCCAAAATGCGAATGCGCATCGAAGCAGAGACACGCCAAACTTATTAGGCGCGCAGTGGCACATTTATGCATAGACGGGACTGGGAATGCATCATCAGGGACGGAGGACTATGTGGAATGAGTTATTATTATTAGTATTATTATTATTCATTCGGCCAACAAATGAACAAAAGTACAATGTCAAAGCAAATAAAAATCAGAAAGTAAACAAAAAATGATAATTGAAAAGAATGACCTGACAAGACTGAAGACTGATGCGAGTAGGAATGGGTTGGTGGGAGGGGGGGGGGGGGGGGGAATGGAGGGTGGACAGTTCGACAGGGGAGAGGAGATAGAGGGACAGAAAACAAGAACAATATAATATTTCAAACCGGCCAGGGTAAACAAAAGTGTACTTAAACACTGTAGCCCTAAGGCCTGCCTACCCATGCTCGAAATGTCTACACAAAAAATAAATAGAATACAATGCAAATAAAAATATATAAATGAAAATAAAAATATATAAATGAAAATAAAAATATATAAATGAAATGAAAATGAAGGGGAAAAAAAAACGAAAAAAAGAAGAAAAAAGAGAAAAAAAAGAATAAAAAAGAAAAAAAAACAAAAAAACAAAAATACAAACACCCCCCAACACCCCCCCCCCCAACAAACAAACCAAAACAACCCAACAAACAAACACCCCCAAAAACATACAAATGAAATGCTGCTGAAAAACAAACACACAAGCAGAAACTAGAGATTTACACATAAATATACATATCAGGTGAGCACTATAGAAAAGTTATCCGAGATCTTGGAAGTGATCAGACAGACTTCTGTTGAATGAACTTAAAGAGTCAAGTATAACCAAGTCTTAAATATGAGATGGAAGGTTGCTCCAGATGCGTGGAAATGAATGGGTGATGGAGTTCTTGAGGGCAAGAGTTCTGGCATACTGTTGGCTGAATATCACATGATCTAGGTGGCGAGTGTTTACTGTTATATTACTACAAACAGAATGGCAGTCAATAAGTCCATACAGACACTTCACTACATATGTGACGGACTGCTTGGCTCGTCTGTTCTCCAAAGACATCCAGTTCAGGGCTTGATGAAGTCTGTCCTCGTACGTTACGGTTCCCCTGGCAACCTTCAGACACATCCTGCTGGCCCGCCTCTGGACTCGTTCCAATTTACAAATGTCAGCGGCAGTGTAAGGGGATCAGGCAGGCACTCCGTATTCAAGCACCGGTAGTACGAGGGATTTATAAAGAGATGAAAGGGCCTGCGTTGAAGTTCCTGCTACTTTCCAGATAAACCCTAGTGTCCTATTGGCTTTGGAAACGACTGCATTGATGTGATTAGACCAGGTCAAAGTGTTGTTGAGGGTGAGTCCAAGGTATTTGTAGGTTGAAGTGATGCTTACAGGAGTGTCGTTGAGGATATAAGTGGGGGATCAATTTGTTTCTTTGCTCGCGACATGTGGAGAACCTTAGTTTTCCTTAGGTTGAGCTGCATGCCGTTCATTTCACTCCATCGGCCAAGTTCAGTGAGGTCTGTTTGAAGGGCATGTTCGTCATCAGGAGACTGGATGGGTTGGTAAATAAGTGTGTCGTCGGCAAGCAGCAGGAATTTTGTTGACAGGTTGTGGGAAATGTCAGTGATGAACAGGTTAAAAAGCAAAGGGCCAAGGACGCTTCCTTGTGGGACTCCAGATGTGACAGGTGCCCAGTCTGAAAAGCAACCACGATACATGACACGTTGCTTTCGGCCAATCAAGAAGGATTTGATCCATGCCCAGGTTTGTCCACTGATGTTGTAATTGCTTGCCAGTTTTTTTAGCAGGGTGTCGTGCGGCATGACATCAAAGGCCTTGCTGAAGTCAAGGAAAATGATGTCAATGCGAGGAGGTCGTGGTCTATCGAGTATGGTCGCCCAGTCATGAATTGCATTGGTTAGTTAAGTGACACCGGATCGTTGTGCAGTGAAGCTATGCTGCTTGGTGTTGCCAAGGCAAAGTGAAGAAATGTGATCGTTGATGTGTTCAGCCACTGCCCTTTCCAAGACTTTGCAAATGACTGAGGTTAATGCAACAGGACAGTAGTTTGTGATGTCAGTGCGTTTACCAGCCTTGAACACTGGTGAATGAAATCTGCGAAAGTTTCCAGTCCAAAGGGAGAGTACCAGATGCAAGTGACTAACAGTAGGAACAGTTTATCAATACGAACAGTCAAATTGTTGTATGAGCATGAAAAATGCGGCTGCCAAGGAGACAACCAAGACGTTGACGACACAATGTGAAATTTAAGTTTAATCTAAATTAAATGTTTGTGAAATCAAGGTTTTTGTCATTACTTAACATGTATGAATTCACAATTGAGATCACACTAAATAAACAAAGATTACTCATCCCGAACAGAAATGACTTGCAACAGGCATAACCTGTGTACTGACGCAACTTCAAATAGTAATTTGGTATTTAATACCAAATTTGTATTATTGTCATTTGAAGGTCGTTTGTAATCACAATTTTCGTACCTTTTTCGTTATTGCGGAGCCAAAAGGATCAGTGACAGGAATTCACGCTACAGACTTGAGTTAGTGATGTTGATTTTGTTTTAATGACAGTAAACCAGTGACGATTTTTTTTTTTGTACCCAGCTTCGGCAGAACGCTAATGTTACAAAACAAGTTAATGCAATGACAAATCAATCGTAACACGGACAGAGTGATATTCTGATATCATATGATGATATACTATTCCGGGGATAGCCTTATTGCTCATCCCTGGCCCCCCCCCCCAAAAAAGTGTGCGATAAATCGCTGTGATTTACATAAGCACTTGAATACAGGATATACTCGGTCTGACTGTAGCATGAGTATTGCTGCTTTCATGTAACGGGAAATTGTCATATACATGCGGCGTGGCGTGCTCACACAGAATCACTTCCATGCATCTTTCTTTCAATTTCAAGAACAGTTTCAGATTATTCAAGCTTTCCAGGAGTACAGGGTTCAAGCAATAGTTCAAATAAAATATTGAATAAAGTAAGCTGAATTGCGGATATTATCCGGAATCCACGGAGGCTTTTTTTGTGGTTGGTTGACCTCTTTTTATATTTAGAAACTTAGACAAAACGACATTTTTGGGTTAAAGACAGGTAGGATCATTTGCATGTATCTCAGAAGTAACCAACCGAATAATTATTATTTTTTTGATTAAATTTAGTAGGGTACTAACCACCCCGTGATGTTATTTCGTCTGGCTTGCTGCCATTGCGAAGAAATCAAGAAATGGTGGTGATTTCCAACGATCAGTCAATTGCCTTTTTAAAATACAGAGTACCATGGGCGAAATCGTGTTTTGTGAGCAAAAGGTAGTGCATGGTTTTTCAATGTTTTCGCGAAAAAAAATAGCTGAAGTTTAAACTGGTTAGGTTTAACGTTTAAACATTCATCTTTAAAATTTGAGAGGTGTTATTATTGGAAACGAACAATGCATGAAAAGCAAATGAGCCTAAAGCCTTGAGAAAGAAAGGGGCTGGTCATATTGACCAAGAATGGAATCAATAATTAAAACAATCAAAATGCATCGTTAATTAGTATTTCTTTTACAATTAAGTTTCTAGTTGTTTTCAGAGTCGGGCTAATACATTTCCTATGTATTTCCTTAACTCACAAGAAGGCAACATACACAAAGTAAGCAACAGTTGCAGACTATTGCAATGAGAGTAGCAATCAATGACTTACCATTCAGTCGGGCCTTGCTTGGGCGATAAGACCCGCTGTATGAGCCTGACGCCGTCAGGCTGGAATCAGGGATGGCCCCACTGGCCATCCCCAGTGGAGAACTCGTACACGAAAGACCTGAAATGACACAAAATATATCGGATATAAGGTATCGTTTTTTTCATTCTCATTTTGCCTGCCAAATAAATATGTTTAGGGGACCACAGCATTAATTTTACACCGGAACATATTTTGTTCGCAACCTTCCGTTTCTCTCAAATGCAAGAAAACCATGAAACATCATTTTTAGTTCAACAGTTTTTGCATTAAACGTTCAAGTATTCAATGCTTTTCCTGACAACTGATTGCGATGTTGCAAACCGTTTCAGCCCGAGTTTAGGGAATTTCTGTCCAAATCGAGATAGGAACCAACAAATTTGCTCATTGTATGATGAGTGCAGAACGTTTGCTCATTGACTTACTGTTATTTACTGAAACAATCACGAATTGCACCAAACACCCAGAAGTTTACTTTTGCAAAAAGTCCCAAATTCTGACATCTTGTCGTGCTGAAGCAGCTTTATAGGGAACGGACACCATTCATTTTTGCAAAATTCAAGAAGAAAAATAAAAGAAATTATTAAATATCATACTTGATTGTAATAGGATCATGCAATGAGTGAAATCAGTGCGCCTAGTTTGCTATCATTTTCGAGAAAAGAGTCATTATCATCATTTAATCGGAATGGTTACGACAAAACCATTGCACTTTTACCGGGAACCTATGCGTCGAGAAAAATGAAGTTACATTTTCAAGTATATTTACTTTGCTTGGTTTTTAATGACCTGCTTCAGATTGATTGTATCGGTATTTCTTGAATGTGATAGGGCCTATATCCCCGCTCCATTCCCTTTCTTGTTTTCTATTCCGATCAAATCCAGAGAATTGGGACTGCATAAAGCCACGGTATAGCTTCATATTTGTAGATATGGTTTAAATTACAGGGGTGGGTGATAAAATGGGTCATTATATTTGTTCTTGCACAGATAATAACTATTATCGCATGTGTTCCCTTATTCAAAGGAATACGAGGAGTGGAAATTCCCCCCCCCCCCGCCCCACCATCAGAACGCCACACGGCAAACATAGGGGTACAAACATTAGCAGTTACAATTAAATATCAGCAGTTTCATGTGCTTACCTGATATGCTTGAGCTGCTTGCCTGGTCTTGTGACGTCACATCTTGCACTACAGGATGGGCCGAGCATAATTCTAAAATACAAAGTCGAAATTGGGATACTTTAATTTTCATTCTTTTTAACTGGAATAAACATTGACAGACAAAATGATAGGCGCAAAATGCGTCTCTTGTTTTCAGGCAACGGTTTGGGCATTCTGACAGCGCCGAATCCAATGGATTCACTTATATTGTACGAAAACTATACGGATACAGTAGTAAAAGTGATGAGGCATCAACTAGCGAAACTATGTTCAATACAAATAAACTATGAAATGAAAACTAACATGACGAAAATGTTTTCAAAATGTACCGTCCCAGTTATTTTCAATTTTCAGCCCAAAAATAGATTTATTGTTACGTGTGCACACGTTTTGTGCTGGGATCGTGATGCTTGTAACTGTAAACCGCAGACATAGCCTACAAAGTTTCAGCTATAGAAATCAGTTGCCTGCTTACAGATTTCCATGTGTTGGTTTTTGTTTTGTTTGCAACAGAAAATAATCTGTAAAATTACAGTTGACAACGACAAAGTCAATTCAGTTTCACACTTACGTGAGGGCGCAGTGATGGTGATCAGCGTGGCAGCCAACACCAGCAGATTTGATGCAGAGAAAGACATTGTTTAGGAATACGATGAGAGAATGTAAAACAAACGTCTTCAAGAGAGATCAGCTGGAGCCGAGTATGAACCGACGGAGGTTGGTTGATCTGTTTATATATCATGGTGCTGGGCATGATGTGTCGGGGTTAACAGGTGCCGTTAGCTGAGCAGATATATAATCCGTCTGGCTTCCATGGAACGAATCCCCCGAGACGTTCTCTACGTGGGTCTATTTGTGTTGCTGAGAAGCTATATCGGGGACTTCCGACTTGGGTTAAACGAGGGCGTAGAATCCGGGGGGGGGGGGGGGTTACGGTGGCATTAACTATCCCCTTCCCCAACATTTCGCAACGAGTGCCCTTTTTTAACATTCTGCGAACGTCGAACGATTTATCAATATTAAAATCTACGATCCTGCATTCTAAGGCAGTTCAGTAACTTTAGCATTCCATTCATTATTTTGGACCCCATTTTACTAGTATCAACATTAGTCAGCGGCTAGCGGTTGGGGTGGGGTGGAGGGAGGAATATTGCAAGCCCCAACCCCCTCTAGATCCGCTACTAGATTACGAATATATAGTTTCATCTATTACTATTCAGTTGCACAAAATCGCCATGACATGTCTGTCATATAGATACCTGACTATAGGGACGACTTAACTTGTTTTTAAAAATCTGGTCACACAGTGAAATTTCACGTGAAAAGTATGTCTATACTCTAGATCTATGCGTTTTATTATTATGATAATGGTTTTTCAAAGTTGAACATAGAAACTGACTTGAGCAGGGTTGCACCTGCGACCTTATTTCATTAAAACTGAATAAATATGCTACAGAAAAACCTAATAAGGAAAGTTATCAATGTGTTATACAACATTATAATCCATTGATGTGCGGCAGAACGGGGCGGGACCAATATGGCGAGGTCAAATGGGTGAACATTGGAAGTCATTTCTTCATATTCTTGTGACGCACGTGTTCTGGCACTAGATCAAACGCGCAAATTAAGATGAGCCAGTAACTAAAAAGTTCAAGGATGTTTATGACGCGCAAAAGTTTTAAACATTCATTTCCTTGTGACGCATGTGTTTTGACACTGGCTCACAGTTACCCTTATGTATGACGATCCTGTAATGAACATGCATGTTCAAGACGTTCATCCAAAACAGACTTAACCTCTGACATTGTCTGGGCAAAATATCAAACATCTGGTAGTGACATTGCTGTGTAGAGTACCAATGCACCAAATTGCTCACGTAGGGAGCTAGGGCAAAAAAAAAAAAAGTCCCGGGTTCAAACATTCATTTCCTTATGACGGATATGTTTTGACACTGGCTTTCTGGTTCATAGTTACCCTCATGTATGACGAACCTGTAACTAACATGCATGCTCAAGACGTTCATCCAAAACAGACTTAACCTTCAAATGTTCTGGGCAATATAGCAAAAATATCTGGCAGTGACAATGTAGCAACATGTGGTTGCAGAGCAGTAAGTAGGCCCCAGATCAGTTGCTTCCTTTATTCAATTCAATTCAAACACATTTATGTCCTGTTCATGACAGAAATGGAAAATAATATAAGTATTGAACAGGATATAAAGGCGGCTAGAGGTGGCAAAACATTGAAAGAATAGCTTGTATCAGGCACGCCATTACACATCACGATTTGTTATATACTGCCAATGGGGTGGGGGGGGGGGGGTTCATCAGCAAATCAATGCTAAAATGTAAACAGGTTTTTTCCTCCGGACACATTGTTGGCCTCCGTAAATTTTCAATGGAGGCGCTGTTTAAATCCGATGATACCCCCGTATCTCAGCTGGCTCAGTCCGAATGTTGTGCACAAGCGGACATTATTACCGGTATATAGTCACAGAGTAGGGGGGGGGGGGTTACATTATTTATAATATATTTCTATGCAAAACATAAAATGTGAGTCAGAGCTGGGGGTTCCCCCCCCCCCCCCACCATCGGCAAGAAATTGGGTGACTTTTCATGTAACGTTTATCAGGGGTCAATGAATATGGTATCAAAAGCAATTATGTGGGATGGTCATGGTTGGGATGGCAACCGATTTTAAAAAAAAATGGTAATCAATTAATTTTGGTCCTTTTTGTAGTCCACGAGGGGCCAACCTACAATCTTCTTTGTGCTTGACTCACTGTCTCTCACTTGTGAAATAGACTTGCATAAGTCTCACCTTGGTCCCAAAAATTACTCTGCTGGTCCCAGAGGGCCAGACTACGGTCTTCTTTGTACTTAACACACTGACTGACCCACTGACTGACCCAAATTGTTCAACTAGTAGTTCACAGAGACACCAAAGTCACAATTTGTATGCTGTATTCACGTACGGTTATTGCATTAAAAGGAAGTAAATAATCAATATTATAAAACAAGACAAGCATTTCAACGTAATAAATCGTTAAAAAAAAACAATCATAAGAATCCACCTGGGGGTCCTACTATGACAAGGCAAGGAGGCCTCTTAAGTGTGTCCAGTTAATTATTTTTCTTTTTATTTTGGTAATATGATAATCAAGTACTAGGTCTATAACAAGTGCAGTTATAAAGTAATTGGAAATCGAATAAATATTACTCCTACTCCTAGTTAAAAAGATGTGTTTATTCTAACAAACGATAATGGCAAATATTATACATGGCACAATAACACAACAATTATTAAGTTTATCAACCATCGTATTTGACAAGGTTTCTTCACCGTCACGTATTCTACCTCAAACGCAACATCGTAGCTTTTCCTGAAATAAAAATTAAAGTTGATCGGTGAATCAGAGTATAAGAGAGTCCACAATTTTCACCCTCACTGCTTATCCGCTGTGCTTTAACTTTTCGTTCCCCGATTTCATTTGAACGTATTGATATCAATGGACTCATTCTACTATGAGTAGCTGACTTTGAAAATGTCCAAAATGGAAGCAAGTTCAATAATATAATTGATTATCGATTCCACTCCTGTTCCGTTTTTCGGGTGGTCTTTTGTGTAGTTTTTTGGTGTTTTCTTATTATCATTTTGTATATATATATTTTTCAAACAAACAAAGAGACTATGATTGTTGCATGCTTTTTATGCGTATTGTATATGCTGCACACGAACATACATTGACAACAAGAAAGCTTCTGCCTCTGACTCAAAACTACATCTAGCCAGTACGCACTGTTAACATTGACTGGTGTCATAGATTACGCAGTCATTAATATACTGTACAATGCCAAGAGAAGCGAGGTACCACTCTCCATATAATGTATTTACAGCATGTACGGGTTATAGGCCCAGGCCAGTCACGTGACTATAGAAGAAGTCGACCAGCAGTTCACGAGGGGCGCTTTGATGGTCCGAAATACCATGAAACAAATAGTGTCCCTTTGCAAGGAGATGAGTGTGAATGATGATGTATGGTGTCCTATCCTTCCCGGTTGCTTGAGCGGTTTAGCTTTCGTCACTTGTTGGTTGTTACGGTGTTTCCTGCAATAATACAAAAGCGAAGAACAAACAGTTTGCATCTAAGGTTGTTGAAGAAAACTGAAAAAAACCAACAATTTTCAATAAAAGAACTTGCGTCCTTCATAAAATCTAAATAGAAACCTTGATCTACAATCATGAGGCCGTCTAAGCACAGAAGTCAATAAAATAATCTCTCTAAACAATTTCCAGATGCGCAGACGTAAATGAAATTAACAATCTGGACTTGTTCAAGAAACCCATGCAAATATTGATTAAGGCATCAACCGATTATTGCTAGGCCACCAATAACTTGAACACACATTTGTACTATTCGAGCTTTTGTTCATTCGGATGAATGCACAATGATAATTTTTACTGTCAAATTGGATGGATTGTTAGTTCTTGAATGACGCAAGAACAAATCCATCTTTCTAATAATAGGAATACGCAGAGTATTTTCTATGATGATTTGAATCCTTGACAAGGTGGTGTAGGTTTCGTTACACTGCCCTCATTGTTCGCTTACCATCACTACAGATCACTCCAGCATCGTGTGAGTGGCTACAACTTGTCTCTTCCCAGCAGTGGGAAGGGCAGTCGGTAATTTTCTCTTCGGAGCCTTCGCACGCCACACCGTCCATATGGACGGGTCCGCTACCCTGCCCGAAGTGGGCAGCGGACTTGGCCTCCAGTACGCCTGAAAAACCGAGCTGTCGGCAGACGATCCCCGCATCAGTCTGGTTCCAAGTTGTATCGCAGATGGTGCCCCAGCTGCCGCCACGGTATATCTCCACTCGGCCGCTGGTGCGAGATCCGCCGACCAACCGAAGCTCATCTGATCATTTCACAATAAAGACATCATCTCAATTTAGAAAACAAGGCGAGTTACAGTCTGACGCCTACACTGTGGAGTGGTGTTATGAAAAAGGGACGGATAGGTAGCCCGCCCTCATGGTTAGTAGACCTCCCAATCCCCTCTTCAGCTGGAAATACAGGCTGATAAAAATATGTCACGTAGCGATCAGAATCAAATTACCTGTCTGTCAGTGACAGTGCCCCAAAGAACCCATAGGCCTACTGAGGACATCAAGTGGGTCTATATTAAGGATTCGTTTCCCGTGCTATTTACGAGTTTTTTTCCAGAAAAACAGATTCATTTTCTAAGTTATTGCTTTTTTTCTATAGCAATACGAAAGTTATTCACTTTTGAATGAGACATTGAGCGAAAAATCAGCCCGTTTAGTTGTTGAATCATTATTACTTTTCAGTTTCGAATTATTTGCTTCCAGACAATAATTCTATTCTCGCGGGTAGGCTGGTCCCCGCCCCACAATAAGCCTCTGTACTAATGACGTCACACTTTGTTTACATGTGTGCTTTCCTATGGTGCTCAGTGGACCGTGGGACCCCACTGGCTCCATAGGAAATTGCACATGTAAACAAAGTGTGACGTCATTAGTAGCACAGAGGCTTATTAGTATCGATAATGTACAGACCGGGAGCCAGTCTGTTCGCAAGGTGGGTCTGTTTGTGCCCAAATCATTTTTTTCTTCTTCAGAGGGTTGCAGACGTCCAAAATGGACGTAGTTGTAAATTTATAAATAAGAAAAAAAATGATATGTTGAAGAGCAAGGGGAACTCAACCTTAAAAGAATAATGGTCCAAATAATCAGTATTGGGAGGCACAAGTAAGGTTTTGAATTCCTATTTTTGAATGCCTATTTAGTGGGTGTAAGAGATAACAATAATTGTTTCAGATTTTTCATTGAGTTCATCAGTATATTTTTCCTATACTCATTAGGGAAGTGCTTTTGTTTGAAGAATGTGTTTCAGGGTTGAGTACCTCCTTATGTGACTTTTATCATCAGAGAACGCTGAAATATCATTAATACCTGGAGATGATTTGATAACACAAAATTCACTTGTGTAATAAGCTGAGGTTTAAGACACAAAGTCGGATGTGAATGACATGTCATGGAAACTAAAGAGGGCGGAGTATTTCTTACCAGGTCTTGGTTTACAAACGACTCCTGCTACAGTTGAGCTGCTGCATTGCTGAGAGCCGGTACAGACAAACGGACAGTCAGCCAGCCGTCGTTCAGTTCCAGTACAGGCGACTCGATTCATCACGATCGGCCGGTCACTCTCTCGGCTGGACAACCCCGTTTTAGTCTCCAGAGCCTCGATGAAGCCGAGCTGATGACAAACGGTGGTGGCGTCCTTCATATCCCAACTGCTATCGCAGACTGCACCCCAAGCATCATGGCGGTAGATTTCCACTTGGCCGCTCCATTTGTCGTCACCGCTCACCAATCGAATCATGCCGCTAGTGACTGTTGGGATCGAGAATTAGTTTCTTTCAGAATTAGTTCGCGAATGACATGTGTGTTCCGATTTTCAACAACAATAAAACGTAGGTCTAACTCTCGATAAAAATAAGTCTTGTAAGTTTCAAACTCTTTCATTAGGTTCACTTCTTGGCCGACTGTTTGTGAACAACAGCCTCTATAATCGTACTATAATTTAAACCCAAAAACGCGCAAAAGATGCTTGTGCAAATACATATCGTTCGTTTAACTTTTTTTCCAAACTCGAGGTGCCATTTCATGGCCCAAATCGTGTAATCAGACGTATTCACCCTTCCAATGATGACTGTTGTCTGGCAATAATGACCATTCCTTTGTCTTTGTCTACATGCATCCAGGCAACTCAACTCAGATCCCCGACTCAATTTGCAATATGAAGGTCATTTTCCAATTTGTGATCCAACCCCATTGTTTCATATGATTTGTACTGGGCATTGTCAGAATGCAACAGAGCTGGACCAACACGTGTCATCAATCAGAAAAGAAACGAATAAACACACCCAGCAAGTGATATCAGCCGACAACACCATCATCCCAACTCCCAACCCTCCAACTTCCATGACCTGGATACCGACACAGGTTTATGAGGATCAAAGCAACCGACACTATGCAAAAGCAACGGTGTTAGATTTAACACCGATGGTATCTTTATGGGACCACCGGTGTTCAATTTACACCGCCCTTTTTGTAGTGTAGACCTAAAATAAATGTAACACAGTCAGATACTAGCATGATCATTCGGCCTGCATCGGAATCACTGTTACATCAATATGAGTTCAACATAATTATAGATATGACTTGTATTAATACAACTTCCTCCGGGTTCTTATCACGGTTCATCCAAACATGAAACTCAAGTCAGTGCCCGCAATTAATTCTTACAGTGTTGAAATAAGGCTAGACCTCAACAACTAACCATTTTATTTTTTACAATTAATAACCTTTACACCAAATGACTAGCGGTATCATTGCCTTTCTATGGCGACTTATATTGTCTAGATGGGCACATTTGTATTACCTCGACATCCGAGCACTTCGAACCTCAGGTAATAATAAGAAGAGTGACTCCATGTGAGTGGAAGTATACGGAGGAATCTTGCCATCAGTACCACGGGGAACGTCACATTCACAGGTTGGCTATCACCATTGTGCCCATTCAACTGAAAAATATAACGATTTACTATATGACCACCAACACAACATCCGGTAGTTCAAATATTTGTTATACGTCAGACGTCTGTGCTATTGGAAGAGCTAGCTGCGCCGATATAGGGAGATACTAAACAACTTTGATGGCGCTATTACCTTGAATATGAAAGTCCATTGCGTGCATGTATATACCTCGGGTGAGCGAGGATCCAATTCAGAGTGGCTTTTGACAAATTAACAATCGTCACTCATTTTGATGGTGCATGCCGATGGCGATGCCCCTTCCCCCCAATAATTTCTCTCAGTGTATATAGATTGTTTTACCATGCAGTTACATATCTTTATAATATTATTCTGTACGTGATATAGCGCTATAAGATATTGGTCTTCCAACATCCATTTTATGTAAATGCACACACTGGGAGGAATTGGCGCGCAACACGAATGCGTACATACAGTTTGTATAGCCCCCCCCCCCCCCCCCCCCTAGAGTCAGGTGGCTTAAAACACCCCGCTTACGAATTTTTATATTCTGCTTTCCCCCCTCAATGGCGACATGAAATCGTCGTCGGTGCTTGAGACTAAAACGAATACTGCGACCCAAGCTGGAGTCGAAGGAAATAAGGTTTGTTTTTAATTTAAAAAAAACACATGTTATTTGACATCAATCCATTATAAGGAAGCCAAATCGATTCAGGTTTGCCTGAAATAGTTATTTGCTTTTAGCTGGGGTTAGCAGCTAAAATCATCATGTCGCTCCGTTAATCCGTCCGCTGTTAGTTAGTTATGGTATAATTAACGTTGACATGTATATTGCCCTGACCGATTTCGACCATTAAACTTTGTCAAAAGTATCAGTAGCCACGCCCCAACATGTCACATGCTCAAACTAGGGTCAAAGGTCATCATGGGGTCAAGGTCAAAATAACGTCAAATTTCTAATAAGCGGAAAAGACAAAAGTAACGCTGTCAACATGTTGGCCTTGGTCAAACATTAAAAAGTGTCCATGTTGTCGATCGTCTGACCTACAGATAATGAGTCAAAGGTCAAAATAAGGTGAACACGCCTTGGTTGGCCGGCCGCATTGAGCTTCCGATATCCGATCGAGCTTGTTAAATACGGGCTTACACAATACCATGTCAAATTAACACAATTAATTGCTTGCCAAACAGTGCTTGACTACATAGCATACTACTATTAGCGCAAATAACTTCTACGAATAAACGCAATATTTTGCGATTCAACGTAACGGTTTGCGGGGAAAAGGCCTAACAATCCAACAGTTTAGCGATGAATCTAAATCAATACAACTTTTACAAATGAGCACAATAGTTTTACAAACTAACTATAATAGGTTTTTTTCTTTATGTCGCAAAAGGCTATTTCACAATCGTCTTGGGTTAATTAATCAAAGCATTGCGTCATTTCGCCAATATGTAATGCGTTTATTTCACAACTTATGACCAAATTCACTTGTTTAAACCTGGAACGATCGGCTTCCGTATAGGATTGGCTTTCTGTAATCGACTGTCCGTATGGAATGTAAAAACTACAGAATCAATCTTAACGGGATCCTAGGCTCACCTGTACGGTCTGTCCTCTGTCAGTTAGCTTCTGCCAATCATTGGACTCGCCCGTATTACTGGAGTTTACAGCAAATGTTAGGATATGATGGGTTGAATGTCCCTCTACGATGACCCCCGTGATGGCCGTGTACTGACCGAGGTCTACCTGGATCCATTGACCCTCTGGTTTCCATCCGGGCATACCCACCAACCAGTACCTGTGGGGAATACAACAAAAGACCATGGCATTCAACTGTTACAGTGATAATGATAATATTACAAATTTTGCATTGTAAGTTGCACGAGTACACAGGCTTTGATTTTATGTGATTCCTGTTCTGAATAACTGAGTAACTCTTTGTTTATCATGAAGGATCACAAGCGTCAATTTTTACACGGTAAATAAGGAGAATGAGGTTTTGCCAGAGGCTTCTCGCAAGGCCAACACGATTCTTGAACGCTTCATAATTAGCGACGAGGCAGGATTTTCCATGAATGACGAGGTTAATACCCAGAACGTAAGACAATATTCTCCACAACCGACGAAATCCACCACCGTTTAATTTTTAAAGGAACGACAGTCGCACTTAACTCACTGTTCGTTTAGGAATTTGTGGCTATGTTCTCATGATTGGCCCTTTTTTTATTGATGACTAAAAACATACAAACTAACATTTACTTCGATATGATAAATAATCGGATCATTCCTGTCCTTGCAGCAAATTGTCATCGTCTGATTGGAGGAACTTGTCAATATCTGTGATGGGCACAATCATAAAGCGTTTCCTGTACAGTCTTCGCCAAAATGCGAATGCGCATCGAAGCAGAGACACGCCAAACTTATTAGGTGCGCAGTGGCACATTTATGCATAGACGGGCCTGGGAATGCATCATCAGGGACGGAGGACTATGTGGAATGAGTTGGTCAATACGAACAGTCAAATTGTTGTATGAGCATGAACAATGCGGCTGCCAAGAAGACTACCAAGAAGTTGACGACACAATGTGAAATTTAAATTTATTCTAAATTAAATGTTTGTGAAATCAAGGGTTTTGTCATTACTTAATATGTATCAATTCATAATTGAGATCCCACAGAATAAACAAAGATTACTCATCCCGAACAGAAATGACTTGCAACAGGCATGACCAGTGTACTGACGCTACTTCAAATACCAAATTTGTGTTATTGTCATTTGAAGGTCGTTTGTAAGCACAAATTTCGTAACTGTTTCGTTGTTGCGGAGCCTAAAGGATCAGTGACAGGAATTCGCGCTACAGACTTGAGTTAGTGATGTTGATTGTGTTTTAATGACAGTAACTAGTGACGATTTTTGTTTTGTACCCAGCTAGGGCATGAGAACACTAATGTTACAAAACAAGTTAATGCAATGACAAATAAATCGTAACACGGACAGAGTGATGCATAGAATCGGTTTTCATTTTGGTCAAGTTTATGGTGAATGCATGGACTATTCTGGGGATATCCTTATCGCCCATTCCTGCCCAAAAAAATTGGGCGATAAATCGCTGGGATGTACATAAGCACGTGAATACAGGATATACGCGGTCTGACTGTAGCATGAGTATTGCTGCTTTCATGTAACGGGAAATTGTCATATACATGCGGCGTGGTGTGCTCACACAGAATCACTTCCATGCATCTTTCACTCAATTTCAAAAACAGTTTCAGACTTTTAAAGCTTTCCAGGAGTACAGGGTTCAAGCAATAGTTCAAATAAAATATTGAAAAAAGTAAGCTGTCTTGCGGAGATTATCCGGAATCCATTGAGTTTTTTTGGGGGCTGACCTATTTTTATATTTAGAAACTTAGACAAAACGACCTTTCTGGGTTAAAGACATGTAGGATCATTTGCATGTATCTCAGAAGTAACCAACCGAATTGTTATAATTTTTTTTGGATTAAAGATCGTAGGGTACTAACCACCCCGTGATGTTATTTCGTTTGGCTTGCTGTCATTGCGAAGAAATCAAGAAATGGTGGTGATTGCCAACGATCAGTCAATTGCCTTTTTAAATACAGAGTACCATGAGCGAAATCGTGTTTCGTGATCAAAAGATAGTGCATGGTTTTTCAATGTTTTCGCGAAAACATTAGCTGAAGTTTCAACTGGTTAGGTTTAACGTTTAAACATTCATCTTTAAAATGAAACGAACAATGCATGAAAAGCAAATGAGCCTAAAGCCTTGAGAAAGAAAAGGGCTGGTCACATTGACCAAGAATGAAACGAATAATTAAAATAATCAAAGTACATTGTTAATTAGTAATTTTAACAAGCTCTAGCTGTTTTTAGAGTCGGGCTATACATTTCCGATGTCTTAACTCACAAAAAAGGGAAAAACACAAAGTAAGCAACAGCTGCAGACTATTGCAATGAGAGTAGCAATCAACGAGACTTACCATTCAGTCGGGCCGTGCTTGGGAGCCAAGATGAGCTGTATGAGTCTGACGCCGTCAGGCTGGAATCAGGGATGGCCCCACTGGCCATCCCCAGTGGAGAACTCGTACACGAAAGACCTGAAATAACACAAAATATATCGAATACGAGGTATAATTTTTTCATTCCCATCTTGCCTGCCAAATAAATTTGTTTAGGGGACCACAGCATGAATTTTACACTGGAACATATGTTTTCGCAACCTTCCGTTTCTCTAAAATGCAAGAAAACTATAAAACATCATTTTTAGTTGAACAGTTTTTGCATTAAACGTTCAAGTATTCAATGCTTTTCCTGACAACTGATTGCGATGTTGCAAACCGCTTCAGCCCGAGTTTAGGGAATTTCTGTCCAAATTTAGATAGGAACCAACGAATTTGCTCATTGAATGATGAATGCAGAACGTTTGCTCATTGAATTACTGTTATTTACTGAAACAATCACGAATTGCACCAAACACCCAAAATTTACTTCTGCAAAAAGTCCCAAATTCTGACATCTTGTCGTGCTGAAGCAGCTTTATAGGGAACGGACACCATTAATTTTTGCAAAATTCAAGAAGAAAAATAAAAGAAATTATTAAATATCATACTTGATTGTAAGTAAATAATAGGATCATGCACCGAGTGAAATCAGTGCGCCTAGTTTGCTATCATTTTCGAGAAAAGAGTCATTATCATCATTTAATCGGAATGGTTACGACAAAACCATTGCACTTTTACCGGGAACCTATGCGTCGAGAAAAATGAAGTTACATTTTCAAGTATATTTACTTTGCTTGGTTTTTAATGACCTGCTTCAGATTGATTGTATCGGTATTTCTTGAATGTGATAGGGCCTATATGCCCGCTCCATTCCCTTTCTTGTTTTCTATTCGTATCAAATTCAGAGAATTGGGACTGCATAAAGCCACGGTATAGCTTCATATTTGTAGATATGGTTTACATTACAGGGGTGGGGATAAAATGGGTCATTATATTTTGTTCTTGCACAGATAATAACTATTACAGCATGTGTCCACTCATTCAAAGGAATACGAGGAGTTGAAACCCCCCCCCACCATCATCGGAACGCCACACGGCAAACACAAAGGGGTACAGACAAAACATTAATGTTACAATTAAATAATTATCAGCAGTTTCATGTGCTTACCTGATATGCTTGAGCTGCTTGCCTGGTCTTGTGACGTCACATCTTGCACTACAGGATGGGCCGAGCATAATTCTAAAATACAAAGTCGAAATTGGGATACTTTAATTTTCATTCTTTTTAACTGGAATAAACATTGACAGACAAAAAGGTAGGCGCAAAATGCGTCTCTTGTTTTCAGGCAACGGTTTGGGCATTCTGATAGCGCTGAATCCAGTGGATTCGTTTATATTGTATAAGAAAACTATACGGATACAGCAGTAAAATTGATGAGGCATCAACTAGCAAAAAAATATTCAATACAAATAAACTATGAAATGAAAACTAACATGCCGACAATATTTTTTAAAATGTACCGTCCCAGTTATTTTCAATTTTCAGCCCAAAAATGGATTTATTGTTACGTGTGCACACGTTTTGTGCCGGGATCGTGATGCTTGTAACTGTAAACCGCAGACATAGCCTACACAGTTTCAGCTATAGAAATCAGTTGCCTGCTTACAGGTTTCCATGTGTTGGTTTTTGTTTTGTTTGCAACAGAAAATAATCTGTAAAATTACAGTTGACAATGAAAAATTCAATTCAGTTTCACACTTACGTGAGGGCGCAGTGATGGTGATCAGCATGGCAGCCAACACCAGCAGATTTGATGCAGAGTAAGACATTGTTTAGGAATACGATGAGAGAAAGTAGTACAAACGTCTTCAAGAGAGATCAGCTGGAGCCGAGTATGAACCGACGGAGGTTGGTTGATCTGTTTATATATCATGGTGCTGGGCATGATGTGTCGGGGTTAACAGGTGCCGTTAGCTGAGCAGATATCCATAATTGTCCGTCTGGCTTTCATGGAACGAATCCCCCGAGACGTTGTCTACGTGGGTCTATTTGTGTTGCTGGGAATCTGTATCGGGGACTTCCGACTTGAGTAAACGAGTGCGTAGCATCCGAAGGGGGGTTAAGGGTGGCACTAACTACATCCCTCTTTCCCAACATTTCTCAACAAGTGCCCTTTTTTAACATTCCGCGAACGTCGAACGATTTCACAATATTAAAATCTACGATCTTGCATTCTAAGGCTGTTCAGTAACTTTAGTATTCCATTCATTAGTTTGGACCCCATTTTACAAGTATCAACATTACTCAGCGGCTAGCGGTTGGGGTGGGGTGGAGGGAGGGGTATTGCAAGCCCCAACCCCCTCTAGATCCGCTAATGGATTACGAATCCAAATGTTTCATCAATTAACACTCAGTTGCACAAAATCGCCATGACAAGTCAGTCATATAGAAACCTGACTATAGGGACGATTTAACTTTTAAAAAAATCTGGTCACACAGTGAAATCTATTCGTCTTGTTATAATCATAATGGTTTTTCAAAGTTGGACACAGAAACTGACTTGAGCAGGGTTGAACCTGCGACCTAATTTCATTAAAACTGAATAAATATACTACAGAACAACCTGATAAGGTAAGTTATCAATGTGTTATACAACATTATGATCAATTGATGTGCGGCAGAACTGGGCGGGACCAATATGGCATGGTCAAATGGGTGAACATTGGAAGTCATTTCTTCATTTTCTTGTGACGCATGTGTTCTGGCACTAGATCAAACGCGCACATTAAGACGAGCCAGCAACTAAAAAGTTCAAGGATCTTACGCAAAAGGTTAACATTCATTTCCTTGTGACGCATGTGTTTTGACACTGGCTCACAGTTACCCTATGTATGACGATCCTGTAACGAACATTCATGTTCAAGATCGACGTTCATCCAAAATAGACTTAACCTCTGACATTGTCTGGGCAATATATCAAACATCTGGTAGTGACATTGCCGTGTAGAGTACCAATGCACCAAATTGCTCACGTAGGGAGCTAGGGCAAAAATCAAATCCCGGCTTCAAACATTCATTTCCTTGTGACGGATATGTTTTGACACTGGCTTTCTGGTTCATAGTTACCCTCATGTATGACGAGCCTGTAACTAACATGCATGTTCAAGACGTTCGATCATCCAAAACAAACTTAACCTCTGACATTGTCTGGGCAATATATCAAACATCGGGTAGTGACATTGCTGCGTAGAGTACTAATGCACCAAATTGCTCACGTAGGGAGCTAGGGCGGAGCCGAAAACAAGTCCCGGCCTAGACATTCATTTCCTTATGACGGATATGTTTTGACACTGGCTTTCAGGTTCATAGTTTCCCTCATTTATGACGAGCCTGTAACTAACATCCATGTTCAAGACGTTCCTCCAAAACAGACTTAACCTTGAAATGTTCTGGGCAATATATCAAACATATCTGGCAGTGAATGCAGCAACATGTGGTTGCAGAGCAGTAAGTAGGCCCCAGATCAGTTGCCCTCTTTATTCAATTCAATTTAAACCCATTTATGTCCTGTTCATGACAGAAATGAAAAATAATATAAGTATTGAACAAGATATAAAGGCCACTAGAGGTGGTAAAACCTTGAAAGAATAGCTTGTGTCAGGCACGCCATTACACATCACAATTTGTTATATACTGCCTATGGGGGGGGGGGGGGGGGTTCATCAGCAAATCAATGCTAAACTAATGTAGACAGGTTTTTTTCCTCCGGACACATCATTGGCCTCCGTAAACTTTCAATGGAGGCGCTGTTTAAATCCGATGATAACCCCGTATCCCAGCTGGCTCAGTCCGAATGTTGTGCACAAGCGGACATTATTACCGGTATATAGTCACAGAGTAGGGGGGTTTACATTATTTATAATATATTTCTATGCAAAACATAACAATTTGAGTCAGAGCTGCGGGTTCCCCCCCCCCCCCCATCGGCATGAAATTGGGTGACTTTTCATGTAACGTTTATCAGGGGTCAATGAATATGGTATCAAAAGCAATTCTGCGCGATGGTCATGGTTGGGAGGGCAAGCGATTAAAAAAAAAATGGTAATCAATTAATTTTGGTCCTTTTTGTAGTCCACGAGGGGCCAACCTACAATCTTCTTTGTGCTTGACTCACCGTCTCTCACCTGTGAAATAGACTTGCATAAGTCTCACCTTGGTCCCAAAAAATTACTCTGCTGGTCCCAGAGGGCCTGACTACGGTCTTCTTTGTACCTAACACACTGACTGACCCACTCACTGACCCAAATAGTTCAATAGTTCATAGAGACCCCAAAGTCACAATTTGTATGCTGTATTCACGTACGGTTATTGCATTAGAAAGAAAGTAAATAATCAATATTATAAAACAGATAAAACCATAAGAATCCACCTGGGGGTCCGACTATGACAAGGCAAGGAGGCCTCTTAATTGTGTCCAGTTAATTATTTTTCTTTTTATTTCGGTATTATGATAATCAAGCACTAGGTCTATAACAAGTGCAGTTATAAAGTAAATGAAAATCTAATAAATGTTACTTCTAGATAAAAAGACGATTATGGCAAATATTATACATGGCACAAATAAAACGACAATTATTAAGTTTATCAACCATAGTATCAGTGACAAAGTTTCTTCACCGTCACGTATTCTACCTCAAACGCAACATCGTAGCTTTTCCTGAAATAACACTTAAAGTTGATCGGTGTATCAGAGCATAAGAGAGTCCACAATTTTCACCCTCACTGCTTATCCTCTGTGCTTTAACTTTTCGTTCCCCAATTTCATTTGAACGTATTTATATCAATGGACTCATTCTACTATGAGTAGCTGACTTTGAAAATGTCCAAAATGGATGCAATATAATTGATTATCGATTCCACTCCTGTTCCGTTTTTGGGGTGGTCTTTTGTGTAGTCTTTTGGTGTTTTCTTATTATCATTTTGTATATATATATATATATTTAAAACAAACAAAGCCAATATATGATTGTTGCATGTTTATTATGCGTATTGTATAAGCTGCACACAAACATACATTGACATCTAGCCAGTATGCACTGTTAACAAAGACTGGTGTCATAGATTGCAAAGTCATTAATATACTGTACAATGCCAAGAGAAGCGAGGTACCACTCTCCATATAATTTTTTGTACAGCATGCACGGGTTATAGGCCGAGGCCAGTCACGTGACTATAGAAGAAGTCGACCAGCTGCAGTTCACGAGGGGCGCTTTGATGGTCCGAAATACCATGAAACAAAATAGTGTCCCTTTGCAAGGACATGAGTGTGTATGATGATGTATTGTGCCCTATCCCTCCTGATTGCTTAGCTTTCGTCACTTGTTGGTATTTCTGCAGTAATACAAAATCGAGAAACAAAAACTTTGCATCTAAGGTTGTTGAAGAATACTGGAAAAAACAAAACAATTTTCAATAAAAAAAACTTGAGTCCTAAACAGAAACCTTGATCTACAATCATGAGGCCGTCTAAGCACAGAAGTCAATAAAATAATCTCTCTAAACAATTTCCAGATGCGCAGACGTAAATGAAATTAACAATCTGGACTTGTTCAAGAAACCCATGCAAATATTGATTAAGGCATCAACCGATTATTGCTAGGCCACCAATAACTTGAACACACATTTGTACTATTCGAGCTTTTGTTCATTCGGATGAATGCACAATGATAATTTTTACTGTCAAATTGGATGGATTGTTAGTTCTTGAATGACGCAAGAACAAATCCATCTTTCTAATAATAGGAATACGCAGAGTATTTTCTATGATGATTTGAATCCTTGACAAGGTGGTGTAGGTTTCGTTACACTGCCCTCATTGTTCGCTTACCATCACTACAGATCACTCCAGCATCGTGTGAGTGGCTACAACTTGTCTCTTCCCAGCAGTGGGAAGGGCAGTCGGTAATTTTCTCTTCGGAGCCTTCGCACGCCACACCGTCCATATGGACGGGTCCGCTACCCTGCCCGAAGTGGGCAGCGGACTTGGCCTCCAGTACGCCTGAAAAAACCGAGCTGTCGGCAGACGATCCCCGCATCAGTCTGGTTCCAAGTTGTATCACAGATGGTGCCCCAGCTGCCGCCACGGTATATCTCCACTCGGCCGCTGGTGCGAGATCCGCCGACCAACCGAAGCTCATCTGATCATTTCACAATAAAGACATCATCTCAATTTAGAAAACAAGGCGAGTTACAGTCTGACGCCTACACTGTGGAGTGGTGTTATGAAAAAGGGACGGATAGGTAGCCCGCCCTCATGGTTAGGTAGACCTCCCAATCCCCTCTTCAGCTGGAAATACAGGCTGATAAAAATATGTCAAGTAGCGATCAGAATCAAATTACCTGTCTGTCAGTGACAGTGTCCCAAAGAACCCATAGGCCTACTGAGGACATCAAGTTGGCCTATATTCAAGAATCGTTCCCCGTGCTATTAACAAGTTTTATCCCCCAAAAAATAGATTCATTTTCTAAGTTATTGCTATTTTTTTGTACAGCAATACGAAAGTTATTCACTTTTGAATGAAACATTGAGCGAAATATTAGCCCGTTTAGTTGTTGAATAATTATTACTTCACAGTTTCGAATTATTTGCTTCCAGACAATAATTCTATTCTCGCGGGTAGGCTGGTTTACATGACATCCTATGGTTTTTAGTGGACCGTGGGCTCCCACTGGCTCCATAGGAAAGTGCACATGTAAACAAAGTGTGACGTCATTAGTAGCACAGAGGCTTATTAG